GAGGGGAGGGGAGGGGAGAGGAGCTACGACATCCGTGCTTGTGTTTGTGCTCGTGCTCTTTTTGCGTGGTTTTTTTGCGGTGCTTGGCGTTTCGGGAGTTGGGCGTTTGGTACTACTAGGTGCTGAGCTGAAATTGAAAACCCGCTTCTATCCTGCATCTTTCCCAACTTGATGACATGCTGAGTTTTTGAAGAGGTAGCAGCAGTAGGTAAGGCTGGTGCTTGTCCGTACTAGATTTTGGGATATCTGGAACATCTTCCTCTCTAGTTTTCCCTAGCAGCTCGAGAGATCTAACTTAGAGGACCATGCTACCCTCCCCGCTCTACACACATATCACCTATCACCTATCACATATCACATATCACATATCACGATGGAATAGGAAAAACAAGTCGAGTGCAGCATCTACCAAAAACAGATAATGAAGAATTGAAGAAGAGTAGTAGCCCGGTGGAAAAAATATTTACGGTTCTCGGTTTGTTTTTTCCTAGCTAAACCTGTGACTGGGCTGTTTTTTCGCTGGTCAGACTAACTAGATATAAGCGCTGATGCGCTCCTGAAAGAAGGGAAGGGCGCTTATTTCGTAAAGGAGTATTAGCAGAAGCTGGCTGTTATTGATGGGAGATGCTTGAGATGGTTTTGCTTGCTTTGGAAAAGCTGGGCGCTTGGGCCGTTGGACGGCGTATGTTGATGGTTGCCTTGTCGCTTAAGGGGATGACGGCTGAAAAAGTACTGAACTGGTCCTTAGCCGTCTGTCGAGAGGAGGTGACCCCTGTAGGTTGGCGAAGGAGGTGGATGTCGGTCTGGTTGTTGCTTTGCAACGTAAGGCAACGCAACGCTTTGCAGATCCTGCTGGGACGGCGCCGCTTCTACGATACCTTCTCCTCGGTGATGACAATGGTGGGGCCGCTTGGCTCTAGAAGACTCTTTTCCGTGATGAATTTCGAGGACTGGGTTAGACAACTGTTAGCGTGGCGCTTCTTAAAAGTTGCAGCTTGGTGTGGAAATGGTACGTACCCTTTCGTGCCACGATGCGAGATTGTTTAACCGTGGATGGATCAGGTAGATGACCTCGCGCGGGTTGGTGCACTGTCTGATGATGGTGAATAGAATCAGAGCGAGGGGTCTTGTTATGACTTGAACGGAGGGAAAGCTGCGACGCCCGGGAGTTCGAGGAGGCTGGAGGTTGAAAGAAGTATATGATGTTGATGGGACCTGGAGATTGAGAGGCTTGCAGGTCATGATGTTGTATCAGTATCCGAGTAAAGCGTAGATGCAACGGAGGCCGACGAAAAGCATGCACTAGAATGGGAAGGTATGAAGGGAGGGCAGCTACAGCATGGCCAGCACGCGTATGCAAAAAGGAAAAGGACGATAACACAGGAAAGAGGTTATCCGAGAGGCATGAGAGTCGGTCATGCCACGGCGACAGAGTTTTACTTATACAGAGACAGGAGAAAGCATGGAGAGGAGTGGCGTCCAGGTGGACAGCGGCTACATCCTCAAGTGCTGTGCGACAGTGGACTGTGGAGAAGCCATGTTCAATGCCGCCTTTTCTGCGGGTCTAAAAGAGTCGAAACAAAGATGTAGAGCCTCCAGGCGGGACATTGGGCGAAGCTAGATGGGAGAGCGGTGGCTGTGATAGGAGGATGAGGTTGCTGACGTCGCAGTTGCAGAGACGAGGCTGCAGATCATTAATCCCGATCCACGTGCCCTGCCTGTGCTGATTCAGGGCATAGCTGACGAATAGCCCGACTTCCGACAGGATGTGAATCAGAACCGGTGGGCATTGAGGACAGTGATGGAAGAGTGTATCGAGAGCGTTTGAGGTACTGTGCGCGCTTGACTTTGCCAAGGCCGTCTCCTACAATGTTTCACCCCCCACTGCATCCTCAAGCATGGTCCTTATGCTCGTCTAGACGGGCTGTGGAGCTTCGCATCTTCTCGGGAGGCCTGATATCAGCTCATCATCTTCCTTCTTGGGTCTTTGTCAAGGTCAGAGTATAGTTAGATGTGGCTGTTGCAGAGGTTCTTTGGGTATTTTGGATACCCACCTCTAGCGCTTGACGAGTTCGTCGTGATACAGTGCGTGTCGTGGTATCACGGCTGGCCTCTGAAATTACCGTCCTTGAGGCCGAAGCTGATGTTTGGAATTCCTCTGGGATTGTGTGACTCTCCTCTGGTGTTTTTAACTTTACACGATACGTAGACGGCTGGATCCCAAACGAAAAGAAAGCGAAACGTGAGACTTGGCAACACCCAGCCGGTTCTTGGCGCTGCCAAGGTCGCTGCCAAGTTCTCTGCGGCGATCCCACATTCGGATTTCTGCTATCAAATACATCAAATACCCAAATTCACCACAAGTTCCTCAAGCACAGCCTCATCAATCTCTCACCTTGTCGCGTCGATTCTTTCGATTGAGTCGTCATGGCCAGTGTGTCTCCCACAACACCCGTCCATCATCTACATGCAAACCAGGCCACTGACATGATCTGCAGAATCCAAAAACTCATCCCAGCACAATCAGAATAAGAAGGCCCACAGGAACGGGTAATGCGTCCCCCCTCCCGGGTTTGAAACTATAATTGTCGCAGCAAGGCATCTCTGCCCATCTTGCTCGCGTCCGTGCAAGTCACCGCTGATCATTTTACTCTTCTGTACAGTATCAAGAAGCCCAAGACCCACCGATACCCATCCCTCAAAGGCACAGACCCCAAATTCCGAAGAAATCACAGACATGCTCTACATGGCACCATGAAGGCGCTGAAAGAGGTGAAAGAGGGAAAGAGAGATACTGTATGAGCTTGATGTGGGTGCGGTGGTCAGTGTACGAGGGGTGAGGAAAGGACATCAACGACAATCAAAATGGCGCAGACCACCATCTTCGGCTCAATGCGGAGGCGAGGCGCTTAGAGTACTCACAGTTGGTCAAGGCAATACCGAGGTGCTGGAACTCATTAATCAGAAGTCGGTTTTATGGTCCTATGTTTATTGGCTCTGATTATCTAGTGCTCCCAGTCGTCTGCTTGATAATGGAAATGGCATATGTGTGTACAGCATCGCTTGCTCTTCTCCATGCACGATGACTGAAGGATTGTTATCTTCGTGCCAAGATCATACCACCAAGCCCTCTCATTACCAAACACCTTTCTTCGATTACTCGGTGGAGATATCGTGCATGGGACGAGGGCTACAGCCAACTTCATCCCTTCCACGAGTTACTCAAATTGTCTGAAGCTCTATTTTCGTCCTGGTTTATACAGCAGAGTCTCCATTCCCGGGTTTCCATACAATGACCTTCTTATCAAATCCTCCACTAACAAGCCATTCCTCTTCTTTCTCGCTTCCATTTCCATCATCAGTGCCCTGAACCCTCACCATACCCGCCCACAAACTCCTCACCTTACTACCAACCTCATGCCCCTTCAGCAAAGCAACGACCTTCCCAGTCCTTGTCTCAACCCCCCTGATCACACCATCATCCCCATTAACCCACATTCCACTTCCATCCGGCCGCCACACCACCTGCGGGGTACTATAGGGAGTCTGAGGCGCCATCGTCGAGACGTGTAGTCTTATAGCCGCATCTTCCCGATCCTGGATGGCTAGCTCGGCACGTGCTTGCGATGTTTGGGTGTCGCCACGGACAAAGCCAGCAGCACCGGTCTCGTCTTCTCGAGTACCCGGGAAGAGGAGTCGAACCAAGATGAGCTTCATGTGTGGGAGATGCGATGTCGCGACCGCGATGAGGGTAGGATCTGTGGGACAAGCCGCGAGACTGGATGGACTGAAGGAGATCCAGGCATTTGCGTGAGGCGCCAGGTTCTGTTTGCCGGCTTCATGGACCGTGATGGTAGAGTGTGGAGAGTGCTCTGTGATTTTGTAGTAGTATAGGTAGGTGGAGTCGCGTCTGCCCACGATGAGGTAGAGCTCGTTGGTATCGGGATGTCGGACGAAGAGGATGGACTCCGGGTTCGTGGCAACAGGGAGGGTCGTCAATGGGCTGCCGATCACTGAGCTTTCATCCTGTTCGTCGCCATGAGGAAGGGATGCATCAGATGGTGGCTCAAACGAGTACAAGCAGATCTTCTGGTCCCAGCCGGCAGTCGCTGCAATACAAAATGGCCTTCCTGGCTGACCGTCACGACAACTTCGTGTCACAATCACCTGGACAGCATACTTGACATGATGTCTTTCGGAGTCTATGCAGCGATGTCCGGCTCTGTAGAGATCCACGTGGCCTGACATGGAGCTGGTCATCCAAGCATCGTGGTGGATCGGGGCGAGACAGAGAACAGGGCTATTATGGGTCAGAGAAAGATCGACGGTTTTCTCGAGCTCATAGCCGAGACGCGTAGACAGCACAGATATCTTGCGATCGGCGGAAGATATAAGCAGCTGCAGAGGCTTCGTGCCATCCTCGGGCGTTGCCCAAGGGGTCCTTGTAGGCGTGACATGCACAGCTAGGATGTTCGAAGGCGAATCAAGAGAAGTGATGGTATCAGGCTGTGATGGAGCTGTGATTGGCATCATCAGTAGTGCGTATGGAAAGCCAACAGCAGCAGTGATTCATCCCATGCTATGTGCGTCTGGATAGTCTCGCTTCAACAGGGATCCATTTGAGCCCAACAACAGCGCCGATACAGTACTTGCAAGCCCACCACCTCACACTTCAACCCGTCTCCATGACGCGGGATCCTCCCAACTTGCCACGAAAAGGAGAAAGAGACCAAGCACGCAGTTATCCAGCCCTCGAAAACAGCCTTACGAGAATAGGAACATGACGAGATATCCCCAACCCTTGGATTTTTTGGCTCACCTGGCCGAGTCCACCCGCCCTCCCGCTCCTCGCCCGAGGTCTTCTCGTACACGATACCGGCATCGTACTGCCTCTTCTCCTCGAGGATCTTCTCGATCGTCCAGTCTCCCGCAGCGGTTTGCGCGGCATCCGCCGGCAGCCCGGCCTCCCTCAGGAATGCATCAAGCGTCTGAAATAATGCGCATCAGAGTGCTGCACTGCAGCCCTGCAAGGCAGCCGAGAAAGGATCGGTACCTCGTTGTAGTGGTTGGATTGGAGGAAGCGGGCGACGATGACCTCCGGTGTGGCGGATGAGGGCATGGTTTCGGGGAGGTGAGAGATGGGATCAGAGTTGAGAGTGGATACGAGGCAATGGGTTTGTGTTGCCGAGACTGCGTGATGCATCTGGGTATTCAACTCCGGGCCAATGATATAGGATAGCGAGAATACATGAAGTTGGATGGATTTTCAAGATGACATTTATATACAAGACGATGAATATTCAACGAGCTAGATAGATACAGTTTAGGGTATATACATTAAAGATGCCATAAATGACTATTTATAATTATTTCGTCGTGATTGGCAACATGTTCTTCGCTCTATCCGAAACGCTCTCTGCTAATGTGGATGTTTTGGATGTGACTGCATCAGCTTTCTCCTTCAGCTTCATCGATCTCGTCTTATCGGAAATTTGATCAGAAGCGGTCGCAGCTCCAGAGCGCATGGCATCTGCGGCTTGCTTCATCTTCTCGTCTCGGATCCGACGTACATAGGCGAAGAGAACCACGAAGAGCAATTCCATCCTCTCCTTGATCATCATCAATATACCCTGTACAAGTAGTCCTTTGAGGATCTGTGGACCTATTCCCTTGAAGAGAGCCAGAGGCCCTTCATGTTCGATGATGTGCTTCATTACCTCACCAAATGTCTTGAAAGGCTTGCCTTTCCGATCTGGGGGAGGCTTTGACTGCAGACAGACTTTTGCCACGATCAACGGTTGTGTAACAATGGTTGCCAGTGTTTTTGACAGAGCTCCTAGCACTATGTCAGGGTTAGTGCACAGATAACCATATACATTTGATGTGCTCACAGAAGGCTTCCCACGGCCGTAGATTGATCTTCTGAGGGAAGAGTAGATCCCGTAATCGCTGATATGCGCCGTAAGTGATGGCAGGATTAACAACCAGGACCAGACTGGCTTTCAGTCCTCTCCACAATCCTGTCAGCCCATCATCACTATGAATAACTTCTCTTCCAGTATCAAAAAAGCCTTTCTTGTCACCTTTGGACTGTGTCTGCTGCCTTGTTGTGATAACAGACACAGGAATCGTGAAGACCTGGGCAACAGCTCCAGCGGCAGCCCCAAGCGATAGCTCGACAGCTGTGCTTGGAGGTTTCGGCATTGATAACGATGACTCATAGAGACTTCGAACGACGGAATACCAATAGAAGTATGCAAAATTGGTGGATGCAACACCGAGTAATGCTCCGTTCATGCCAGAATATAAACCCGTGATACCTTCATCCGCAACAATCTTACTGATGGCATCAAGGGATGAATCATAGTGGTCGGCATGGGTCGAAGGAGAGTTGGTGTCGAGAGGCTTCTTTCTGGCTTGCACCTGTATTCTCGTCTTCACACTTGGATAGATCAGCTATGATGCGTAACGCTGGAGAGGTAGGCACACATGTCCAAGGGATATACTAATGCATTGGCAAGCACTGCGCCTGTTGCACCCGCTACAGCACTTCCCCATGGCGGCAACGGCTGCGTCTGAGCTGCCATATGCTAGTAGAAGGCCGAAATAAGCGAGATCCTGAAGAGTCTCTGGAATCAGCTCTGGATCCCACGCTGATTCGGAACTGGCTTTACGGAGCCGCCAAAAACTGATAGTAAGGATACCTACTCTAGTTCCGAGAGAGATAATGCATTGCTGCCTGGGAGGATAGATAGAATCACATACGCAAGGAGCAGGAGGGCGGAGGCTAGGTCAATTCATATGAAGTGTTGGAAGAAAACTTGAAGCAAGTTTGTGACGGCATGATCACAGGCAGATCGTCAGACCGGAGGACCTCGGCAAACACCCCGCCAAAAGAACATTCACCAAAGATTTATCAATTTATCAGATGCTCTGGTCCTCCGGTCCGAGCTTCAGCCGGAACGACGTGCCCCTGAATCCACCCTTCCTCTTCCGGAAGCGCGCAACTATGAGTACGACCTCTTTTGAGACTACAGAGCAGAGAGCTCTCGCCGCAGAACGAAATGCGTCCCTCCCAAAGTCACGGAAAGGGGCTTTGGAAGCTACAATCAATGCTGTCGAGCTGTACATGCGCGCTCTCCGTCTTGCCCCCACCAGCAACGAGAAGGCGCGGCTCGACTCCAAATGCAAGGAGTTGCTGAGCAAGGCGGAGAAGCTGAAAGTTGAAGATGTCAAAGCAGAGTGTGATGACCGCAATACTGCTTCCACCTTGCCACCAAGGGTTGGCTTGAAACAGCCAACCTCAAGACGGAAACTAACCACACGAGAGGAGATCATCCTATTGGAGGGATCAAAGTTGAATGGCTTTGTATTTCCACCATGGAAGGGCGATCCGACACCTGATGAGTTCGTGCTGAAGGACGGCCAGAATCTATTTGTAGACTCAAGGCCACTTCAATTGTCATCCCTGCAGCTCAAGACATTCGCAGGATGGAAACGGCCTTGGGAGGCTTTTGCAGGACTTGACATGTTGCAAGATGGGATAGAGTTGTCACCGCAGCCCACAATGCAATGTGTGAAGAAGGTCGATCTTGTGCAAGACATGACTTCTGACTGCTCTGTGGTTGCCAGTCTCTGTGCTGGATCTGCACGAGCGGAACGGGGTCATCCAAAGGTGCGTGGATAGTCACTGCGGCCACCTAGGCTGACAATGAATTAGATACTCTCTTCTATAATGTTTCCCTACGACCATTCTCACTCCTTACCAGCTCTCTCACCTTCATCCAAATACATCTTCCGCCTGTATTTTAATGGGTGCCACCGTAAGGTGGTGGTTGACGACCTTCTGCCTTCATCAACAGACTCCAGGATATTTCATGTTGTGGACAGATCTAATCCGAGCTATCTTGCGCCAGCGCTGGTTGAAAAGGCCTACCTCAAAGTACGTGGTGGCTATGATTTTCCCGGGAGCAATTCAGGAACGGACCTGGCAGTCCTGACGGGTTGGCTGCCAGAGCAGATCTTCCTGCATGATGAGGATGTTATGCCGGAAGATCTGTGGTCGAGGGTGTTCAAAGCTTTCGCTTATGGAGATGTGCTGGTCACGATCGGTACTGGCAAGCTCAGCAAGCGTGAACAGAGGCACCTCGGACTTGCATCAGAGCATGACTATGCTATCCTAGACATGAAAGAGACTGATGGGATGCGAGAGATGCTCATCAAGAACCCTTGGTCGGACGGTGATGTGTGGAAAGGAGTTTCGAGGTCCAGTGCCCGTACTGATGAGGAGAAAGGTCAGCCTCTTCTTGGGTCCAAGGAGCAGCTATCAGCCAACACTAAGCAGGAGACAATGGCGCCTGGCACATTCTGGATGGACTTAGGGACCGTCTTTCAACATTTCGAGAACCTCTATCTCAATTGGAATCCTGCTTTGTTCTCTCATAGGCAAGACTATCATTTCTCTTGGGATCTTTCTACAGCCCCATCGATGCTTGGCACCTTTCAAAGCAATCCTCAATTTTCCGTAACTTGCTCCCAAAGCGGTTCTCTCTGGTTACTACTTAATAGACATTTTCGAACGAGTGATTACCAGGGCAATAACAAGGCACCACACGGCTTCATCAGCCTCTATCTTTTCGACAAGAAAGGACATAGAGTGTTGCTCTCGGATGGCTCTATGATTCGAGGTCCGTATGTGGATTCGCCGAATGTACTCATCAGGCTTGAAGCTCAAGCCCGTACGGACTACACCGTGGTCGCTGCTGCGCAAGACTTACCTTCTACGAAACTCAACTTTACACTATCGGCCTTATCTCGCTGCTCTATTGAGCTTTCTCTGGCCAAGAAACGCTATCTCAGCGCGGTTTCGCTAGGTGCCGCCTGGTCTCGTTCCACGGCGGGAGGCAATTCCGAATCCACAGCTTATTTGACAAACCCACAGTTTTCTCTAGAAATGCCTTCGAGAGCGGAGATTGCAATCCTGCTACAGGCCACAGAACCAGCAGCTGAAACCAAGGTTGCTGTGCACATCAAAGTATTCTTTACAATGGGGTCAAGAGTAGCAACTCTTAGGTCGAGGGACATCGTTGCACAATCAGGAGACTATCGCCGAGGAAGCGCTGCCATTGAAACAATCTTGGACGCTGGAACCTACACCATAATTTGCTCCACCTTCGACGCTGGTCAAATGGGTAAATTCTCGCTGTCTGTTCAATCGTCCTCTGATAGTGCTCCGAACCTTCGGGCTCTTCCTGCGGAGGGCAGTGGCCGGCTAACATCAGTTTCCCAGCCAGCTGTTTTCGCAGCAGGCACGAATCGTCTTCTTGCGCCGGTCTGGGCCAGTCGTTTGGCCAGAGCAAGTGTAGTTGTCCAGCCAATGAACAATCCAGTTGCTGGCACCCAGAGTCCTCGTACATACTCACCCCTGAAGCTCACGCTCGAGCAGGGCCAAGGCCCATACAAGGTCTGTCTTGCTACATCTTCTGCCTCTAATGAGAATGAGTTTGATGACCCTGCCACTGGTGTACGGATTGATGATTTTCAAATCCAACCTGAGATGCAGGGTCTTGCTACAGGTGGACTATGGTTGGTTCTGGAACGGATGGCTGCAAGTAGCGCAGCGATGCAGCTGGAAGAGCGATTCCAGATTTTGGTGCTGGGGGAAGAGAGGGTGAGCACTGGGGCTTGGGGAGTGGGGGATGGGTAAGTGCTCCCTATGAGTTTTTTGCCTAGACAGAACTCTTTCATGGGCTGCAGGCAGAAGAACCTGGTGCTCTTCTCACACGTCTGCAAAGGATTGCTCCATTCCCTCCCTGTCACAAGCGGGGCTGTTTTCCTGCAGCCATGAGTATTTAGAAGCCTTTCTCGTCTTCGTGTTCCCTCAGATATCTGGGCAGGCCTAACTGATGTGAGCCCGCCTCGCTGAGACATGAGACTCTTATTCGCCACAGTGCTATCTGAGAAGCACATCTGATGGCCTCCCTACCTTTGCTACGTCTTGATGGACTAGGATGTGGGTATCCCAGGTCTGTTTGTAGATTGATTGGATGTGGCTGAGCATGAGTGACCATTTTTAGTCCAGACATTCGTGAGATAAGCCCTCCGAATGAGGTCTGTGTCTGTGTCTGTTGTGATGGGGGCTTTCAAGGAGCGTAATGATGCGTCTCGTGACCACTAACAACGGCGGCGGAGACTTGCCCCAATGCAGTCTGGTGGCTTGGTATGCCCAGAGCAGCATTGGCACAGGCAGCGGCAGCTTCCTCCCCGCACTGCTTGGCATCGTCGACCAAGTGCAACTGGAAGTTAGTAAGCAAGCCATCTACCACTTCAACTTGTTACAGCGCGCCCACCATCTGGATGTCTGTTCACGACAGTTCAACACCCTACCCTTCAGCCACGGGGTAATGTTTCTCATCTCTTTCTGACCCTCACAGAGATGAGCTCTCAAATTCCTGCGGCCGTCAGGGCTGCAGATCTTGCAAGGTTCGCCACACGAGCTTCGCAGCTGGAAAAGGTGAAGCCTCTGATATCATACTATTGTAAGATCATCAGGGCTTGTGAGGAGCTCCAGCCTCATTTTGACTATCTCCTCAGGTAATTACTGGATTGTTAATCAGATACTGGCGAAGAAACTGGAAAAAACGGATCAAGATTGCTTCGTCTACACGACTCATTTGATAGACAAGCTTGAACAGGTAGCCAGACCCATAATTGGCAGGAGGCAAAGATCTGACCACAGACTCAGTTCAAAGCCGACAACCAGGAACATGATGCCGCCGTGGACGACTTAGCCAGAAGAGCCTATGTGGAAGAGTTCGCATTGGAGACGTTCCAGAGAGCTGACAATGCCCTGAGAGCGAACAAAGCGTCCAGGTATTACTCTTGTTCTTTCGGCAGTCGGCTCGCATAGGCTTATCCTTCTCGCAGACAAACCGCGGACACATTCCAGGCGGCAGCGACATTTCTAGAACTATTACAGATATGGGGAGAAATTGATGCTGAAAATGCGGCAAAGATTAAATACGCCAAGTACCATGCTCTGCGGATAGCAAAAGCGTTGAAAGCAGGCGAGGATCCAAATGCCTCCAATCCAGCTGCAGATTACAGAACGAGTGGTGATGAAGCTTTGCCTGCTCTGGATCCTAACGACCCCGAAGTCCAAATGCTGAATGGGTCATCCACCAAGCCAAGGCAGCCATCAGTGGTGGACGTGCCTGACGAGGCATACAAGATACAAAGTGATCTTGCTCGTCAATCATCACTCAATGAATCTCTACATCCGTCAAGGGATCCTTCAGTCCCACGGCCGAGCGTCATAGTGCCCAAGCCAAAAGTGGAAGATGCCCCAGATGACACAGACCGGATTCAGAGCAACCTTGCCCGACAATCTTCCCTGGACCAGTCTCTGCATCCTTCAAGAGCACCTTCTCTACCCCGTCCCACCCAGGACGAAGTCTCCCCCGTCGAAGCATCAGCATCAGCAGAAGACTTCTACCACCAAACCTCTCCTTACGATGATGTCTCGCCCCTGGGGTCCGAGGCAGAGCGGAAATCTTCCATCGGCGGTAACTACTTCCCGCAGACAGCACCTGCACAACACCAACAGCTTTATTACCAAGAACAAGGGCAACCATCCTTCAGCCTCCCCTCCGCCCCCCAAGACCCACCTCCAGAACCAACCCTCCCCCCCTC